CTTTCTATAAACCCCTCCGGCAGGAATCTCAACACCTCCTTTTCATTCTGGTCGTTAAACAACGTCGTAGTAGCCGTCTCGTCTTTCGGTTTTCTAACGACCCATATGAATCTCTTGTTGGTTTTCACAGAATTTCGGTGAGAGGAAATTGAGAAAATGCGTAACAAAAAGGAGAGAGAAAAATAACTCTGACTGCGTTCAGGTTGTTTTATTTGTTCAGAACAAACTCCTATTTAAAGTAAAAAAGAATTCTAAAATTGGCTGGAGAGTGGCCAACTAAATCTGTGCCACTCCCTTCTAAAACTCTGGTGATCCATTCGACGTGATTTGTCGAATGGTCAAACTCACGATTTTCTGAAATCGTGTGAATAAGAAAAACGGTAAAACTCAGGTTTTATCTAACATCTCTGCCCACTCATTTCCAATCCCAACGCCAATTCGTTGATTTGATCACGCCAAAGAGCCCCCCGACTCCCAAACGACACAAACAGAACAGACTCCTTTGGCTGTTCATCAAGCCATTTCAAACAATCCGCTCTCTCTTCATTTTCACTGCAATCTTTCCTCACCAGCGGACCAATTGGATAAACAGGGGGCTTCCCTGGTTTCTCCTCTAGCAGAGCTTTTATAGCTTCAGGCTCCAATTCAGGGTAGCTGTTGAGAAAAATGGTATCCGCCATTCTATACCTCTTACAGTTATGGAGCAATAGCTTGTAGGCATCGTCACTCCTATCTTGAGTCGGTTCCTGAAGCTCTTTCCCATGAATTGGAATGCACCCCGGAATCTGAATCAGCTCGGGATGGTCCCTGTACTCGCCGGCGATGATTTGGTCGAGGCTTGGCATTTGTAATGCGAAGGAAAGGTTCATGGCAGAAGGAGGGAAGAAAAGGTAGCAAGGGACGTCGAATTCGATGGCGACATCGAAGGCGTCAGTACTGAAATGGTCGACGATAAGGCCAGCAAGATGGGTTTTTCCGATGAGGGATTTGAAGAGGTCGCGAAGGAATGGAACAGAGCGAGTTACAGAGAGGATGATGATGGTTTCGATTTTGGGGTTTTCGGGGAGATCGTTGAAGGAGATGGGAGGGAGGAAGAGGGGTTGGATAGTGGAAGGGAGGTCGGTTAAGACAGCTCTTTGGGGTTTGGTCGGAGGGGAGGAAGAGGGGTTGGATAGTGGAAGGGAGGTCGGTTAAGACAGCTCTTTGGGGTTTGGTCGGAGGGATGTTGGAGGGAATGGCGATGGTGACGGAGAAATTGTGGAGGGAGACGAGGCGTTTGGCGAACTCGACGAGGGGAATTAGATGGCCAACGCCGGGACTTGGGACGATAACAAGGTGGGGTTGAGAATCAACGTGCAGAGCTTCCATGGCTAGGGAAATGGGAGTGGAGAGTGAAGAGCTGAAGCATGGAACTCATCGGAATTTGATTTGTTAAATAACAGAGGAAAACAGAGGGCCTGTAAGAGCTGAAGCATGGAACTCATCGGAATTTGATTTGTTAAATAACAGAGGAAAACAGAGGGCCTGTTCCACTTGTCCGTTAATTTCTTACCATCAAATTCCTTCTTATCCACCACATGCAAGGAGACTATAACCAAATCCAACTCGAAATTGTTTCACAATCCAACCCAATCCTCTATTTGTTTTGACCTAAGTTGTCTCAATCTTAGAATAAATCTTCAAAGCTTCTAAGTTGGTAAGAAAGATCTAATGATACTTGTTTTCCATGGATACAATTTTTGGCACGTGTCAAAAATTGTTTTAAGTGTTAAAAGAACTCTTACAAAAATCAAGAATTGTCTCACCCAAAAGCTACTATTCATACTAAAACTCTATATTTAAAATAATTTACTTTCCATCGTATCAAAATTATCTTTCACTGAGTTAAGATAAATAGCAAATAACTCCAATATTTTTAACTCTAATGAATTTTGCTCTTCACTTCTCATTTGTATTGCGATAATACTACATTAATTGTGTTTATACTCTTGGAATTGAAACCGACTCTTGATTTAAATTGATGATGACCTTAAACATTATCGTAAAACTTGTAAAAATAATACAAACGAATCAAATAATTTTTTATGTCATTCACCGTCACTTTAACTCTAGAATCGCCATAAATATTCAAAAAGCAATATGATATG